TTCATGGTTCTGGTTTGTTATGATCACTGAATTCTCTAACAAATCAGATGTCTCTCCTCCCCCCATCTTTTTGCTTTGCCATGGCAGCTAGAAAACAAAGGCAAATCTCTGCCTGATCCAAAATAAGCATATGTGCTAGAAATTTAGCTAACTTTATTTCATTATTATTATTTTTTTTTTGAGATGGTGTTTCGCTCTTGTTGCCCAAGCTAGAGTGCAGTGGCACAATCTCAGCTCACTGCAACCTCCGCCTCCCAGGTTCAAGCGATTCTCCTGCCTCAGCCTCCCAAGTAGCTGGGATTACAGGCGCCTGCCACCATGCCTGGCTAATTTTTGTATTTTTAGTAGAGATGGGGTTTCACCACGTTGGCCAGGCTGGTCTCGAACTCTTGACCTCGTGATCCACCCACCTCGGTCTCCCAAAGTGCTGGGATTACAGGTGTGAGCCATCCCGCCCAGCCCACTTAGCTAACTTTAAAGGAGACTGGTCCATGCATGCCATGAAGGTTGAGTACGGTGTTTGCAGTCAGGAGACCTCAAAACCTGTCACTGCCATTCACTAGCAGCGTGGCTTTGGGATAACTGATTCACCTCTCTGAAACTCCATTTCCTGCTGTAAAAGAGGGATAATAATACCCTTCTTTCAGAGTTGTTGTCAGAGTAAGGGAGTAACCACAAAGTTAATAACACGTTGTTTTTACAATAATCATTATGGAGAAAACTGATTATTAGACATTATCCCCTGAATCCAGCTCTTTGCAGCAACTTTGTGTTTCCTCTCTTGAGTTAATTTTTACAAATCTCAGAGAATTAATGCTAAAGGACTTTAAAAGGTCGTCTGGACCATGGTTCCCAAAGCTGACTGACATCAAAGTCACCTGCAGAGCTTTAAAAGGCATTTAAAGTGGAGGCCAAGGACCCTGTATTTTTCGGTGGCTTTCCTGGTGGTTTGGCTTTGTCTACTGATGGACATTTGAGCTACCCCTGCTCTAGACCCTCTCTCTGGTATTTGCCGAGAACATTTTTCTGCTATTTCAGGCAGGTGAAAACCCATCCCGTGTTTACAGTTTTCACCAACCAGGACTCCACACCCTGCTGCAGAGTTCACATAGTGTCTGATATCCTCGCAGGGCTCCACTCTTCCTTTTGCATTCTCTGCTTATGTCTCCAAAGATCTTGAATGGCTTGTGATGACTGTCCAGCCAGTTTCTTTGTCTCCCAATCTGGTTACTATCATGATCATCTCCTTTGGGAGATGGATTCTACCATTTGTCTCTTCTCGTTATTCTCCGAGGCTAGAGGTTTGCTAGACTCTAACTTCAACTCTTCATTCCTTCCCCACACTTTCTCCCGTCTGGAGTTTGGGTTTATTTTTCTTCCTGCCTAACTACTCCTAATATACTAAGTCAATAAACAGATTCTCTGTGGTTACATATGGCAAACAGCTGAAATTTACAGTTGAGAGTAAAATTTCCTCATTTGGGAAAAAACCCATCATTTCACAGATTTAGAAAGTGGTCATTCTGATCTCCAGGGCAAATAAAAAGTGTTTTATAACCTTCCACAAAAGCTTATGCCTTGATTAAATTTTTATTATGAATTATTAATTAAACCAAGGAAATGCAGAGGCCTAAACCATTGCTTAAATTTGCTCCAGATTGAGACACAAACCAAAGGCGGCAAGAAACCCTGAAGGGGAGGTTTAATGATGAGCAACACATATAAAACTATCTGCACACTTCCATCTGCCAAATGCTCCAAACCAGCCATGTAAATGAGCCCATGTGCCCACACCCAGACAGAGGCTGGCAATGGGCCTGGAAGAAACAGGACCTCCTCGGCTTCTCTCTCCTGGGGTCTGTGTTTGGGGCACTGTGCTGTTAGAGACACAGGGGCTTATCTACCTCATGAGCAGCTATGGTTAGAGGGAGTAGCTGGTAGTAGTTCAGAAAAGCAGCCTGGTGTCTTGGAAGCTGAGCCAGAGGTCAGGAGAAGTGGGTCACTGCTCTCTGGATGGAGTGATTGATCCAACCAGAGCCAACCAATACAGTTGTGCAGGTTACCTGGAGGCCGGGCCCAGTGGGTGCTGACATCCAGCTTATATCCTACCCACCAAGCCTTGCTCCTTGCTGTAGAGCTGCGCCCACTATGAGGAGGGAATACCTTTTTCTGACTTGAACAAGGGAGTCTCATGGCCTTGCTTGGAGGCTGACAGTGTGTGTATGGGGTGAGTGGGAGGGATGGGGCTGCATTCTTCTTTCTCTTAGAACACAGAGGTGTTGTTTGGGCAAGTGGTAGCCTAGAACTGAACCAGTAGATACTGGGGATGCAAAGCTGAACAAGACTCTCATTCAAAGAGCTCAGAGTACCTTGACGAAGCAGACAGATATGCAGAGTATTCTAACATGTGGGGACAAGTACAGGACAAGTGCTGTAACATGTGGGGACAAGTACTGTACCCAGATGGGACTGGACAGTGGGGAATCAGAAGCTTTCTTGGGGATGATGTCTAAATGAGTCTTGAAAAGTTGGAAGTTGGAACGGGTTGGGATGAGGGTCTAAAGAGTGAGAAGGCACTGAAGGTAAACAGAACTACGAGATCAAAGTCATGGAGGATGAAGGAGCATGGTCCAAGAACTCTCAGGGAAGACATGGGGATTCTGTGGGGGTTCCCCACTTCATGTGGTTGCAGTTGAAGACATTTTCAAGTATGAGCAGTTATTCAAATATGAACCAAATGGGCGATGCCCATTCCCCTCCCCAGTGACCAAGACTGGAGGGCTTGAGAACTCCAAGTTCCCAGCATGATACTTGGCGTCTGAGTGCTACTTTCTTCCCCTTCCTCATTTCCTCCTGCCCTTTCATTTTTAATATGAAAACACTTTAATATGAAAACATAAAATATATACATCTGTGTATCTTTCATAACTTTCAAAAAAGAGCTAAAAAATGTGAAGTGAAGGGTAATAGCATGATGCTTTGGCTATGGTCGGCTCCCCATGATTTTGTGTCCCTGCTTCTGGGCTGGCTTCTTAGAGCGGATTGTGATTGTGCCCCAGCAAGAAGCTGGCCTCTGGATCAATCACTGCAGAAACAGTCAGGAAAGGGGAGCTTGCCTCAGTAAGCAAAAGTCACCATTATCTGATTATCTTTAGGGATTCCCTACTCTCTGGATAGCTAGTCATGACTAGAGAAGATTCTGCATGGAGACAATATAACATTTATTTGGCTTTTATTTTTACTGAATTCAGTGCTCAAGGACAGTGGCACATTGACAACACTGCTTCCTAGCATGACATCACATAAATAAGTTTGAAGATACTGCTTAATAAGAACCCTTTAAAGATAAGAGAAATGGTAGAAAGAATTGAAGGATGCTATTTCCTTTTTAATATCTGCCATGAATCATAGTCCAGAGAGAAGACAGAAAGCCAAGGCACGCAGGGACCAGGCACTAGCACAGGGGTCAGGAGGTGGGCGTTCACAGGGGGTACAGCTCAGATCCCTGCGTTTGCTTTGGCCTGAGGCTGGGCAGACAGGAACATGGAAAGCTATGGAGCTGGTCTGAAGGGTAGGGTGGGGTGGTTAAGCCTTTGCTGGCATATGGCTTTGCAATCTTGTACACTGAATAAATCCATCAGAGCACTGCATCCACTCACCCAATTAGCCTGCACCTCATGAACACCTATTGTGAGGCCAGCACCATGGGGAAACTGAAAGAACCAGACATTCTACCACCACGGAGGAATGACCTCACCCTGGGTGGTAACTCTTCCCTTCTGCTCACCTACCCAAAGGGAAAAGAAAGTGCAAGGTTCCTAGTTTACATTGAGTTTCTTGAGGGAAAAAAGGCTCTTGGTAAAACAATGCCTTATTCCTTTCTTTTGGAAGTTCCTTCTGCAGAATACAGCTTAATTGTGGGTCCCCAAAAGGCCCCCGAAGAATTAAAAAAAAAAAAGGGTGGTGTCAGGTGAGGGTTTTAGGACATAGAAGGTCACTTTTGGTTGTTGTCCTGTTGAGCCAACTGCTTTACTAACTGGAGTTAGTAAACTCGCTCAAGCTGGAGGGTGAGGGAATGGGTGGGGCTGAGGCTGGAGGTTGGTCAGTAGTTGACCCCCAATGATCTTGTTTGAGGAAAACTCCTGTGATCCCCCATCAGAATATTTTGAAGGTGGAAGAGTCTTCTGGTGGGAAGGGAGAAGAGTGGGAGGAGGAAATAAGCAACGGGCAGCTTCCTTTCTTGACAGATGGAAAATAAAGGGCCTGTCCACAGCTCGGCGAACTGCCGTGGACCTCCCAGCGGGGCTGCTTTCTGAGGCGATGGTCTCCTCGCTCCTTAGCCAGGCTGGTGGAACCAGCGACTGACGCTGGAAAGGAGTTGGAGGATGGAGGTTTGTGGCCAGCGAATGAGAGGTGTGGGGGAGGGGGAAGAGGAAAAATGTAAGGGAGGGAGATGGTTCTTCAATGAAACCTCTGGCCTCTTTTAAACCATAAAGAGGTCTGGGCTGGTTTGATTCCAGTCCTTAAAATAGCTCAGTAGGATCTTAGGGATTATTTAGGTCAAATCCCTGAGAGGTGAGGAAACTGAGGCCCAGAGGTCCCACTTGCCTTTGGTCATGGGGTGAGTATGTAGCCCAGCAGGGTCCCAACTCCTGTGAGCTGCGATTCATGCTGTTATCTTTGCTGGGGAGGCCTGAAGTTCCTTTAGCTTGTCCCTGATGAAGCAGAGGAAGAGCCCACGAGGAAAGCATTCATCTCAGAGTTAGGTGACGTTGGCTTTGGGGTCTAGTTGCCCATTTCTTCCACTTGCCAACATCTTTCCCAAGCCTGCCAGACCGGGGCGCAGTACCACCCCCTTGCTGCCAGACAGATGGCCTGTCCTGGGAGCAGGAAGGGGAGTTCGAGGCAAGCAAGGCCCACTGGGAGCCCCCTGCTAGAAGTGCTCTCCCCTTCCTTCTTTTGGAGGTGGCAGTTACTGGGCAGCATGACCCTGAGGAGGAGATAAGCTGCCTCTGATAGGAAGGTTTTATCTTTGAGGTTATTGCAAATGTGCCTGACTTCTTCATCTGGTTCTGTCCGGATCTGAACTGGTAGCCAGATAAACTGTTTGCAGCCCCATTTCATGTATTTATCAAGTCTAAACAATTGTCAGGAGGCAATTATCCCCCCAGGAAGCCAATGGCAGATAAGCAGTGCCCCGCAGTCTGGTTCCAACCATGGAATCCGTAAGTTGTCCCTCCTTGCCCTGTGCAGATTTTCTCCTCTGTCCCTGCTGCTCTAAATTTTAAAGGAGGTTTGATGTGTTGTTCCAACACATTTGTTTTGGTGTTCTTTGCCCATAGCCCCAAATAAAATCTAATGGTTTTTATAGGTGGATAAATCCTTTTTAAAGGCTCTTTTGTTATCACCACGGGGTTTGTGAGCACTAAAACTGGGTTTTAAGGGATCAGTGAAACCTTAGAATCACGGTTTGCTGTATCTGGAAGGAACTGTGACCACTCGGTACAGCCCCTTCAAGCGGTAGATGAAGAGGTTGAAGCAGGAAGGGATTTGATGGCTTGTGAAGGGAACGTGCTCTTCAGAGTTGGGCAGACGTGCAGCTGAAGCTTGGTCTGGCCACTGATCTGCCGCCCAGCCTTGGGTAAACTCCTGGAGCCCGTTTCCTCACTGATTACATGGCGATACCAATCCAGACTCCACAGTACTGTGAGAGGTAGTAAAACTCCCTCTGGTCAAGGTCACACAGACAGCTGCGGGGCAGAGCTAATACCAGAACCTTAGTATCCGGGCTTCCAGGTCTTTATCCTTTCCATTATTCTGCAGGAGGTCTTCAGGCTACTGTTAAATAAAAAGTAAAGCTTCTACTTTGTCCCACCCAAAATTCTAGTTCAGTGTTTCCCAGACAAAGCACCTCCAGCAGGTCTGAGGCTCAGTTCTATGTGGGGACTCATGTTTATACGATGATAGCATCTATATTTTTTCTGGATGAACTAATAATCGACTTGCCATTGTATTTAGGAAAAACCAGACATCACCTCATGGACGTCTAATTGAAAGGGACCGTCAGTTATTCCATTCATTCTGGCAAATTTTCTTTTTAGCTTTGGTTGCAGCAGGAAGAGAGAAACGTCTGGGGGCTTTTTGTCTGGTGGAAAGGCATCACTGGTCCACAGCCGGGGACCCCTGGATGACCCATCCCAAGGTCCCAGCCCGAGTCTGAAGTCCCAGGGCTGGTCGCAGGCCGACCTTGCAGCCCTCGCCAGAGCGTTGTCTGCACCTCGGACACTAGGTGGCGCCACAGGAACATCCTCGCGGCCCGAGGCGCGGTCGCAGCCGGGGAGCACTCACCGCGGTGCTGTGGAATTTTCTGTTTTTTTCACGCAACGTCGGGCGTCCTGCTGGCGCCCTCTCGCCACCGTGCCCTCCCGTCAGAAGCCCGGCTCCTAGCCGGGGAAGGCCGGGTGCTGGTCTGCCAGGAGCTGGGACTTGCGCCCCATGGAGTGTCGGGAGTCTCCAGTGCCACGCGTTCAACACCACAGGGCCAGGCTGTTTGCTCCCCATCGGTCGCTGCCCCCAGCACCCCGGGTTATTAAGGACTCATTAGCTTGGAGCGGCATCATTACAAGGGTGTGGGGTACTACATATACTCCGTATTTTTCTATTTTCGAAAGGCTGCAGGCGCGATGCACAGTGCGCTTGAACAGTGCGGCCTCGTGCTAGCCGGAGGAGCGAGCAGGGGCCGGGCAGGGGCTGCTCAGCCAGGCGGTCCCCGCGCGGCGGCCTCGGGAGGCCCTGCCGTCGTCCTTCACCGCTGGAGGCGGGTGCGGGGCGCTTCCCCTCCTCAGGGCCCTCAAACCGCAAGGGAGTTTCCGCTTGCCAGTCGATGGTCGTCCTCTCCCATTCCCGGCTGCATCTCCATTTACCCGTCGCCCATTTCCTCTGCCCATCCAGGCTCCTTGGCTCCGCTGGGGTCTCCGTTCCCTTCTCCCGGTCCCCCCGCCAGGTCGCGGCTCCTTTGTCCAGGACTCCGCAGGGGCTTCACCCAAGGGCGCTGGTTTAGGCCGGATCTGGGGTCCCTCGTCACTCCCAGGCTTCTTCCACTTCCGGATTCTGGAGAACCGGGAATCAAGTCCTGCGCGTGCCTCTCCTTCCTCCGTGCTGAAAGCACACTTCAGGCACGCTTCCTGTCCGCCCAGGCATCAGTTCTGACAGAGAGCTGAGAACAAGGAGTTTCTTTTTCTTCCCCCAAAGTTGCCTTTTGTAAGGACTATGTCTGCACCAGGGCTTGATACATGTTGCTACTCCTGGGAGTATGAGACTGGGAAGTTGATGGAAATGTCAACATTAGCTTTAATGGTGAGGCCAAAGGGAGAATGGACCCAGCATCAAGCCTGGGTAGAGGAGAACGGGAGAGGGAGGACCAGAACCAGGGCCCCCCGTTCACTGCCTTGGGGCGTCTGAATCCTGCCTTTGCTGTTGGTGAGCTCTAGGACTATGGGTAAGTTGGTTAACTTTTTGAGCCTCAGTTTCCTGTTCTGTCAAGTGGGAATACAACTCCCTAGCTCACAGAGTTGTGGTGAGGATTATGAACTATTATGCATCTACAGTGTCCTCCCCGCACGTGAAAAGGCTCAGTAAATGGTAACTGTTATCATGGTCCAATCTAAACTTCCGTGCTTGCCTTTCACCAAATTGATGTTACAGAAATCAAAAGGTTCCTGTTTTTCCCACCTTGTTTGGAATTAGGAAAAACTTTCCCTGCGCCGTTAATGTTTTATAGGCCTCTTCTCTCCAAGACAGAAAGGAAGAGAGGGTAACGGGGCTTATTTTTTTCTCCCAGGACTCTTGAGGAAGGATTCAGGATGCGGCTGTGCCACTGGGGATAAAGGGTATAACACTGGGGCAGGTCAGCTTCCTCGTTGGTACAGTGGGACTCTTATACAGGCCCCTTTCTTTCCAGCACCAGATACTGCTACACCATCTCATTGGCATGGACCTATATGTGGCAGCAAGTCCATCTCATCGCTTTTGGTGAAAGTCAGCACAGTTTGTAAAGATTCTCATTGTGAGAATGGGTAAACCACCCCTTTTATTAAAAATCAAACCAGAGATTCCTTTACCTATGAGTACCTCCTGCTGCTAAAAAACAGCAGCTAAAAAGCAGCAGGAGGTATTGATAAGGGAAGTCCTATCTAATTTACTGGTTTAGAGAATGACTGTCCTCATTTTAAGAGTTAAACATTAACCCCATTAACACCTCTGAAAAACCCTCCCAACATGTTTATCTCATTGACATCATGGGGTTGGAGGTCACTGTAGACGAGGAACTGGGACACCAAAAGGAGAAACTCTGGCCACCCTTGCACCCTGTTTCCAATGCTGGTCCAGCATCACCCACAGATGCTAAGGAGCGCTGGAGACCTTACCAGCCCCTGTGATTGGTCACCTTACTCTTCCATGGACAGAGCAATGAACTTAGATTCCTGCTGGGATCCTTTGAGGGCAAGCATACCCTTCTTCCAGCTTGTACTGTGAACTCCGCTGCAGCCATAAGGACTGTCTGTGACACTGAGCCCGAGATGACTGGGCCCTGTGCTCCCTCCCGGCCCCACAATCCTTGGCCTGCCACAGAGAACTGAGCTCTTTTATTAGCACCATGAATGTGACTGATACAGCTAGCCATTCCCTCGTGCGAATGACTCAGTTTATTAATGCTCTGCTAAAGATGGCTTCTTTGCTTGCCAGCAGCCTTAAACAGTATTTCATTAAAACTGGCTTAATTATTTTGAGAAGACGGCCCAATTAAAAGCTATACACTCCCTCTATGTAAGTGTTTATACATAGAGCTGTATATATAATACATATTTGTAAGTGTGTGTATGTATATGTGTATGTATGTGTCTATAAATATATAGGCTTAGCAATTTAATTACATGGGATAAATTGTTGGAAAAAATACCCAGGAGCTGGTCCCCTTTCTGTTGCCAGATTCAGAGCAGAGGCCACCCCTCTGCTCTGGGAGAGGCTGGTGTTGGTGGTCTCTCAATGACTCCGCCGTGAAAGTCCCAACTGCACAGAGCCCTGCCCCAATTTCAGGAGCCAGCAGCCTCGGGAGAGGCGGATCCTGACCTCTGCTCTGCTCTTGGGATGGCCTTTCCCTTCCCAGCAGGGTTGAGATACTTGGGCTGGGAAATGTTGTGGCAAAGTGTTTGCCAAAGCTCGGGAGAGACACAGACTTGGAGCTTTTTGTTTCTGGAGCTGGCTGTCTAGCTTTCCTAATGAGCAAATATGTTCTCTTTAAGGAAACAAACAAACAAAGCAAAAACACCCATTCATCTGGATTTTATTCATTTGTTTTAAATACAAACAAACAAAAGGAGAGTGGTTATTTCTGCACCAACTATTTCAAATGCAAGTTACTCCATTGCTCCGGGTGGTTGGATGGTGCTTGTCACCATAGGACCCACAGGGCTAGTTCCAACTGTTATTTGGTAAGGCTTTTTTTCTTTCCAAAATTCCCAGTGTTCCTTTAAGGCCCATTTAGCTGCGGGTTTTGTTTATTCTCCCGGCAATCAGCATTTAAAATAAGACAAACAAGCATTTTTCCTGGGCTGTGATTCCCCCCAGCCAGCCTCCACCTGCACACCTGAAGCCAGCATGTCCAATCGAATTTCTCTGTAACCCATATCCCCTTTAGAGACTTACCCCCTTCGTATACCAGGCTGGAAATAGAGAACTTAAGCAGGGCAAATGTAATTTTAAGAATTGCTAATGATGCTAGAAATCTGCAATGCAATTAGCATCATTGGATTTGGCGCTCCTCCGAAGGCACAAAACTCCTTGTCATAGCGCAGTGGCAGCAGCGGCAAGTGCCTCCGCATGTGCCGGGCTGTCCGGGTATGCTGGCAGCCACTTTGCACTGAGATGTGAGCAGTTGGTTGGGCTTCTTCTCTTTCTTTCTCACAGACACTGACTTCTTTGTCTCTTCTCTGGGTTGCAGAGGGATGGGTGTTTTCCATTGATTATAACTTTAGCATTTGACCCTCCAGTGCAGTCACCCTGTTTTTTAGAAAACTGAGACTCTCACTTTGTGAACTCCCTGTGCTCTCTGGGATTTCAGTGCTGTAGTTCAACTACCGATCCCCCTGTCCTGAACTCCAGTACTTCTGACGCTACTAATTGGTACCTCAACAATTGTGGGGGCCTTTCCATCATTGCCCACCATAGGATATACTTTTCTTTCTCTCTCTCTCTTTTTCCTAATTTCCTTGTCTTCTTCACTCTCCGTGGAGCCAGAGGTAGTATGAAGAGTTAAAAATAGGAATATAAAGAAAGCCAGAGGGAGAGAGGGAGTGAGAAAGAAACATTTTAAAAAGAGAGGAAATGAATTATTGGTTTAAAAATAAACCTTTACTTTTTCGCAGAAAAATTATTTTTGTTCTCTGGAAAAATAACATGGGCTAGGCATGAGAAGCATGTCAGCTGGCTAAAAGATTGCAAAATCCAGAAGCTGATCCTGATGGGTCTGTTCAGTTTAGCAAGGGTATCTACTAGGGGATCCTCTTTTGAATACGGAGGCCCAAATCAGAAGCTTGTAGAGGGGAGCTATTCTTCCAAGATTCCAGATGTGTCTGTGAGACAATACGTTACAGGGCAAATTGATTTCACCCTCGGGAAACCAGGGAGATTTTCAAAGTTATGTCTGCAAAGCCAGCTAATGCAATTCCCCATTAGTGCATTAAAGTGTGCCCTTATTAATTCAAACATAAAGGCAACAAAATAAGCTGTTAAATTTAAAATATAATACATATATAATGAGAATGTGTGAAAGCCTTATTCAAATGAAAATACAGGAGTGTTTGAACTACTGAGGTATCTTTTGTATTGAATTATGAGCATCTGTAATAGATTTAATTATTAATTTCCCCATTGTTCTATGCACACAGACAGGGTTCAAGGCACAGTCGTTCTCTGGCTTTCATAGATCTAATTTGTATAATTATTGCCTGAATAAAAAATTGCTCCAATTCCTAGCTCTCTTTCTTTCTTTCCCCCTTCTAAATACTATTTCAATGCTGCATTCCAAAAGGGGAACACCTGCCACTTCTTCAAAGTCAGCTGATCATTTGGAATGATGGACGGCGCTGCTGCCGATGACGTCCCCTTTCAAGTCTCTTTGTCTAAGTGAATTATCGTGCATCCTTTTAATTTTATTGAACAAATTACATTTGTCAAGGTCTATCTTTGTAAATAAATGATAACTAGAGACACATGGATGCGTATTTCTGCTGTTCAAGGGCTCTTGTTCCATTTCTGGAAGCCAGATGAACATGGAACAAAGGAGAAACTTTCCTCTAAAAGCAATTATCTTTCTGCATTCCCATCAGTATAATTATATTGCAGGGAATTTTAAGAAGCTGTAGAAGTAGAATTGAATGCTTAAAACTGTGTTTGCTGAATTGCTATGCAAAAGTTGAACAGGCTGTATTGCATCACGCAAAATAGTCTAACTCTCTCCTGGCCACATTTCTGTAAGTTTAGAATGCGCCTGAAGGGTGGAGATGGTGTGGGGGAGGCGGTGGGGACAGGGATGAGGTAGGATCACATTTAGGGTTTCCTGTGTTTCTTGAATGGAATATTTAATGACGTTTCTGAAACCTGAGGGCTGTTAGCAAGGTGACTGGGAATGTGTCTAATAAAGCCACCCATTCCAGTCTGTTGGAAAGCTTCTGATTTGCTGATTGCTCTCTGTCTGAAACAGTCCTGCTAGTTTAGTAACTAATCCATGAATGGTGGTGGGATGAAGAGGGGACTGTTCATGAAATGATGGCAGCAGCAATTACACTGCCCCCAAAACCAGCCAGCAGCTGGCTTGCAGAGATATTGAATGTGGTTTGTGTGGCTACTGTGTCAATACTGTGCATCAACCAGCATCATTCCTTCCTCATCAGCTCCCCCACGATTTAGTGAAGTAAACTGTTGCTGTGAGGTAAGTTGTATTGTCTGATCACTGACAGCTCAATAACCTCATTCCCGCCCCTTCCCAATTTTTCACGAACTCCCTGATGAACATTCAGGAGGAAAATAAAGCACCAGTGAGAAGTGGCAACAGAGAATGCCAGAATCATGGGTTAGTTTAGTATGGCTGGTAGGTTTTGAGTTACTGGACAATTGATGGGATAATATTACAGTCTAGAGATCTTGAAGAAAGGAAACCTACAAGCAAGGATGACCTTGTATCCTCTCAGAGAAGTGAGTGAAAGGGTGAATCAGGAGCCTGGAGATAACTCCCAGTTCACAGAGGCTGCATGGAACAGTGGCATGAGCATGGGCTTGGGTTGGAATGGAGACAGCCCCTGTCCCTCTGCCTTCAGTGTCCACAATGGTAAGATGAGGGATCAGGACCAGATGATTGAATAGCCTATCTTTAGATTCCAGGTCTAAGGTCATGAAACCCATTGTACAGGGCATTGATCTCCATAGGAAAGTGGTAGAGGGAAGGTCCCTGTACTAGGATTGCATTGTCAGAGCTTTATGAATGTGTCAAAGGGGAAAAATGATTTTTTTTCTCTTAAGAAAAAGGAGTCCACTGCTTTCGATCTCTAATTTCTGTGGCTGAGGTTTGGTGATAAGCAAGAACTGAAACCCACTGGATCATTGCAGATGACATGATCAGAAAGTGGTAGGCCTATAAAATAGGTTTAAAATGGTGCCTTGGCCATCTTGGTGATTGAGAAGGCTCCTCTCTCAGGAGAAAGTGGCCAGTGGGACTGATTTGTTTGATTCAGATCATCTCACTAAGCAGCCAATGAAGGGAATGTGCCGAGAGAACCAGCATGTCCAGCTTAGTGTTGAATTCAGTGTTCCCTGAAAGTGTCAGACCCTCTGCTGGAGCTAGTAATAGAAGGTCATATGGTCCCTGTCATCAGGATCATGTTGCATACATATGACAGTGAAGCCAGGTAGGAACATCTGTGATTCTAGGACACAGGGATCAGGGCCATGACACAGGTCTCCTGGGAGGGAGCCTGATGGGGGCTGGGGTAGTCAGGGAAGGCCATGGAAGGAAGTGAGGCTTGAGTAGACACAGTCAGATAAAGGTGGGGGTAGACAATGGTAACAGAGGGAAGAATACGTGATGAGCAGTGACATAAAGCAGCAAGACATGTTCAAAAAGCTGCTAATGCTTCAAGATGGCTGAGGCAGAGGGTGAGTGTGGGTGAGCAAAAGGGATGAGGCTGAGGAAATCAGCAGGTGCCAGACAAGGGGGCCTAGCCAGGAGGCTCAAACTTTCTGCTCTGAGTTACAGGAAAGGGGAGAGCACTGAAGGAGTGTCACAGGTAAGCAGTGTGTCAGGGTCAGAATTTAGAAGGGCCATGTTGACAGCCAGGACTGGATCCTGGGGTCCCTGTGCAAAATGAAAATGTGGGCCCATTTATTCAAAAACCAGAAAAACAAAGGTGCTGTTAAAGGCTTTAAAATACAGAGCATTTCCCTTCATTCTGCAGTCTCTCAATCTGTCATGGCATTTTTTATCCTCTTTAATGTCATGTCCCTCCAGTCCTCATGGCAGGACACTTGTGGGACAAGTACAGACTTCCGTGGGAGCTGGAGCCCTCCCTGAGACTTGGGACACATGTGGTCCACTGACAGCTGGCTCTTCCTCTCTGGGACTGATGTGCCATGCTTCAGCTAGGGGCAGGAAGATGCAGCCAGGTGTCTCTCCTTCCCGGAGGCCTGGTGCTCCCACCCTTGGTGAGCAGGTAACCCCTGAGGGTATTGCAACTTCCCTGTCAAGATGCACTGGGTATCTTGGTTAAGGTTGAGCCTGAGGCTTCCTTTACCAAGTCGCCTGCTACATGCATGGTAGCACTGACAGCCTGGGGTGAGGATGGCCACTGTCACACCCCCTTGCAAGATACTGTGGAGCACGCTCACCAACCCTGCCCCTCTCCACC